AGACATACTGTAGTGGAGTGCATGTTTATGTGGGTTAGGCACCGACTGTTTCTCCTTCATCTGTCTCGTGCTTCCTCCCTCCTCGTCATACATGGTGTGAGAAAGTGGAGCCTCTCTTTCATCTTTTAAAGATGCACGAAGCAGCAGCTACCGAGAGTCAGGCGGAGACTGTATAGGAGAGAAAAGAAAGAAGAAGCACTGAGCACCATCGACTCTATGAAAAACACATAAAGCTCCAAATAAACTCTCAACCCTTCAGCTTCTGTCTGCTGAGAGAAAAAAGGACAACAAAAATAAGTGCATCACAATTTTTGTGTCCCTTTAGATGCCAGTGTCAGTGATAGCTTTCTGTTTCTAGTGTAGCTGATATTTGGACCACTCTGTGCATCCTAATATCAGTAGCCGGCTCCTTTTTGAGATTCTGCCCAGCACAGTGGGATGGCAGCACATCAAAAAACGGAATCAACACCAGTCTCTTTCTTCATGCACTGGTGAAAGAGCTAGATCTGTGTCTCTCTACAATCCACTGCTTTTCCTGAGATTAAAAGACAACACCTGTCTAGTTTTATACACACAGTCACAAACCACTTCCATACGTCACTTTGAAAATCACACATTCAACAAAAAAAAAAAAAAAAGTTGACCATCATCCTCTCAGTTTAGCATGTTAGCATGCTAACATTTGCTGATTAGCACTGAAGTACAGTTGAGACTGCTGGAATAATCATAGTATTAAACTTATTTTGACCTAATGATGGCGCTAAATAAAACATTGAGGGATCATCAAAGTTACAAATCACCCTGAGGGGGATATGAATGCCTCGTGTACCAAATTTTATGGCAATCCATGCAACAGTTGGTGAGACATTTCACCCAAGACCAGAGGCAAAGTCAGGAGATCACTGAAGTCATCAGGAGACGCATAAGAACATGAATATGTGGGGAAATGTTGTAATAATCCAGCAAAGTAGATGTTGAGCTACATTTCAAATGCGTTTCCACTACATTGGAACATAAATATGCTGTTCTATTTTTTTCATTCCTTGCATTGATTCTTTTTTTCAGAGGCAGGCAGGCACTCTGAAGATCCATGAATTGGAAATCAATTGTGGCCAAATTATAAAAAATGTTTCCTACATACGATGTCACTTCTTGTCATTTTATAGATTCTTTCAATATGTGGAATTGCCTCTTGTTGTCCTCTAATGTCTGATAAAAGTCATAAATATTGATTTTTTTTTTTTTTTTAAATAACTGGCCAAACCTTTCCTATCCTTGGTAATTATATTCTTTGATTAGCAATATTATCCAGTACAAGTGCTACACTATGAATACAAATAATTGAACGATAGTTTAAGGAGAAATTAACGTTTTCAGTGAGCAGTTATTCTCTCTGTTCCCTCTCTTCTGCCTGATGCTGCTGATTTGTAGGTCATGTGTGAGTTTTAGAAATAAACCGTGAGAGTGAGTGAGCGAAGGACTTTTACCCTCTAGTGGTGAGCCTGGGGAAAGGACTGTCAAATGCATTTCGGGGAAAAATATGAATGTCCAATTATCCCTGTTCAGTTGTGCATGGAGGCAGTGCCCCAGTTGGAAATCAGTTTTAGATTTCCAAATTTCATATTTTATTCACCAGCAAGTCTGATAAAATCACTCGAGAATGAGAGGCTTATGCTGGACAAGTATGTCAAAGTCCGATGTCACTCTTCCACCGTGCAACTCCTTCAGAATGAAAGGAGCAGACCGAATCGGATGCAGCCGCACATAATGCATTACAAAGATGTTAGTGAAGTAGAAATGTTACCTTCCTATCAACAGCAATACATTAAAGATCTCTAAAAGGCTTTTTAAAAAGCTTTTAAAATGATCTGTGCACTTACTTGTGCCAAAACATATAAATTTGGATTCAACTTGGAAATAATCCTGCATACGGGCTCGCTTACTGCGTATATATTTACATTATTTACATTTCCGTATTAATCATGAATCTTTATTAAATTCCATAAACATACATGATGCTCGGTAAACCACCATGTATAGGTCAAAGGTCAACTGGTGAGTGGACCACCTTAAGAAAACACACACACACACACACACACACACACACACACACACACACAATTCAGTAAAGAAGCCATTCTGTCTCCTAAAATAAATCCATAAAATATTACTCTACAAATAGTGTAAATAATGTCAAATATGCCTATATTTAAAGGCCAAAAGTCAAAGAATAAGACTGACGGGTACAATGGCACAATATTCATAATGTAATGAATGCAGATATTTTTTACCATCCTTGAAATAAACCCTGACTAAAATTAATTTAAGTTATTTACTCTTTAGACCGAAAGCTAAAAATGAAGGTTTTTCTGCATAGATTTAAGTGTGCGGATATCTATTTGACCAGTTATTTACTCTGTAAAATAAAGAAAACATCTTATAGTAGCAAACAATATGTGCAAATCCTGCTAATGTTGCTAAATGAACAATGTAAAAGCTGTTGCATTGGGTATTTTGTCGTATAATGACAGTCTTGTCGGTACAGTATAACCCCAGTAAACACACGCACATATGGAACATACCGCAGCTACACATGGTGGACACCAGAGGGAAAATCGAGTTGGTCGAAATTCAGGTTTTCATCTTCAGTGCTAATTAGCAGAAATTAATACATCACAGTGTTATCCCTGACCGTCGGGCATCAATAACAACACTCAACAACTGTGCCTAGTGTTTTTTATCCCCACAGATAGACACAAAAACATGCAAGCACACCAACACAATCACACTTTCACACGCATGCACACAATGACATATGTTGAGAAAAATTGTCAACGGGCTCAATATTTCACAGTTTTGCCTGTTCATATACCAACACCCAAACTGTGACAGTGTCTTTGGGAAACACTGTCCCTGAGCAGGAGCTGATTTTCTCTCCACTAAAAAAATAAAATAAACAAGGAAATCTCTCAGCCTGTGAGAAAGCGTGTGGGTGTGAAAGCGAGCAAGAAAGTGGAAGAGAGAACGATATAGAAGAGGGAATATAAGAGACAAAGAGAGGGGAGACAGGGAGGGAATAGGTGCTATTTAAAATGAAGATGATACATGGGATAGTTTTCCATTGCACCTTTGCAGGCTCTCTTGAGACTGGAGAGACTTAATATTTCAGAGTCTCATACGAAACACAGACACACTGAGACATATGCACACACATATACGCTCATTTGAAAGCTTCATTTGGCTCAGGAGAGACCGATATGAAGGTTTTCTCTTGAGGTGAAGAGAATGGAAATAGAGTTCAGTCTTGAGCTGCACAATGATCAGGGGAACATTACTCTACTGCAAATAACGCCACACACTTATCGGCAGCTTAGTAAAGTGTGTGTGTGTGTGATTTAATTTTTACAACTGCAAACTCATTTCATCGTGGGAGCTCTTCAGCGCTTGCTTTTGGTGTTTATATTGCTATGAGTGTGCATGTGTGGGCAAGCGCTACAGATTTAAAATTCATAGAAATCACCAAACCATTCTGTACCCATTTGCTTATTTATGCCGTCTATACATAAAACATGACTGACCCGCTCTTTCATTTCCTCCCGTTTCCCACATTCAATCTAAATTCCAACCGAAAAGGTGACATCCACACAGATCTCACAGAGCAAATAGAGATTTGAAACTATTATATTTACACAGCCGACATCAGCGGACATCCCCCTGATTTCCTCATGTGTATTTTGAGTTGATGCCTCAATTGCATCCAAATATCCGTCTCATTTTATACGCCTATCCACTAATTGACAACCATTTATGAATATTATGCATGTGCATTATGCACTACACGATCAAAAGAGTGTAGACACGTACTTTTGGTCTGTGCTGTTTTCATGGCTTTAAACCAGCCCTTTAGTTCCAATTCAGGGAAATCTAAATGCCACAGCACACAGTGACATTTTGTGATGTCTTAACTGTGGCAGCAGTTCCAACATGACAAAACACCTGCACACAAAACAAGATCAGGACAGAAATGATTCTCACAGTTTGGTGTGAAAGAACATGCCTTGGCCTGCATATAGCCCTGACCTCATAACCCCATCCGACACAATGGAGATGAACTGGAGAAACCGACATCAGTGCCCGACCAGGGTCCAAAATCTGGTCCAAAGTCTCCCGAGAAGAGTGGAGGCTATTCTAGCAGAATGTGAATGCCCAAGGTTTAGGATTGAGATATGGTGGTACAGGTAAGGTGACAGGCGTCCATATACTTCTGTCAATATAGTGTACATGTTTTAAGTCAAAATGGAAATATTAGGCTTGCAGGTTCCTGTATATTATCTTATAAACACGCAGCTTTAATTGCAGAAGCACAATATGAATAGAAACTCTTACTTTTTGGATTTCATTCTCCCGCCTCATCACCTCACACCCTCCATAAACCACACTATGGGCTCCTCCACAGTGACAACATTTTGCTTGTGTCCCTGTTCCACACTTTCCATACTCATGGTCGCCCACCATACCTTGCACATTTCCTCTTCTCTTTACAGTTTTTGACTGTGTGCCCAAACCTCTGGCAACTAAAGCACCTCGGTGGCTTTGGCACAAATGCACTCTCACTGTAACCTCAACCAGTACTGATTCGCTCTTGTCATTTTTAGTCTTTGGCCATTTACTCCGTTACATCCACCACTATGTTGTGCTTCCACCCTAAATTTTCCTATTTCTTTCAGATTGAGTGCTTTCTCAAGTTCAACTTCATGTTCTCTTGAGCCTTTTCATTGAACCTTACTATGACAATACATCAGGTCTTTCTCTCTGCCCTCGCTCACATCCTTCTCACTCTCTCTCATTATTGTCAGCTCTTGTTCGTGTATTCCTATTCACGGGATTGCCTCAATCCCCCCTGATTCTCTTCTTCACTCCCTTGACAATAATTCACGGAGCAGTCCTGCTCAACCGCCTCCACAAGAAGTTTTAAATTTCGCGCATTTTGCCGATTACAATTTCTCGTTCTCAGGTCCTGCTGATGTCTCCGCCTACTCCCGTGTGCCCAGGAGGACGTTACCTCGTCTCTATCAGTGTTGAGGATCGGCTGAAGGTAAACTTTGGAGTAATATGTGGTCACAATTTATTTGGAAGTTAAACTCGTTTAACCTCATGCAAACTCTAGACGTAAAACGGTTTGTTTTTCCTGGACCATGAGGTAATTGTTGAAGCAGAGACCAAAGATATCCGTTAACTGGCTAACAACGTGTAATGTAAGCTAATATTAACGTGACTCCAAAAACAACGTGAGCTGACGTTTAGTTTAACTTTTAGTTTATTAGATGGGTCTTTAAAATGTGCAACTGTTCATTACTGGCGTCGACAAAGTCAGCCAACTGGGTCCCTTTGAAAAGCGACCGTTAGCTCCGTAGCTAGCTAGTACTGGGTGTCACATTGAATGTCGTCCTCCTTTGCTAACCGCTGTAAGTTAATTAACATAACGTTATTTAATAGGTTATTAGGTTATTTTCTTACCGACTAATCTTTCTAGATTAGGATTAGGCTAGTCAGTCATTTGGTCTAAAGTTAACAATGGCAGAAAGTAATGAGAAAAACAATAATTTAACTAGTCCCGCTCACAGTTATAAAGCCCAATGTACCATCGTTAAAAATGTCTGTTTTTTTGTGCGACCACCTGTCCAAATATCTAAATGCACTATGAATTTTACAAAACAGACAAAATCAACAAATCGTCATGATTGAGAAGCTGGACACATGTTTCATTAAATAGCATTACAGCAAAAACTTATTAAAAACACTACTAAAATAGTTTTAATTGGGTTGAATTCCCTATAACTATGAAATTGCAGAAAAATAACTGAGTGTATATCATCTAATACATCTGACGTACAACCTCCACGTTAAATAAATACAATTATACATATTCAGAAAAGCTTGTTTCACCCAGTTCAGTTCACCTGGTTCGTGTGTGGAATCAGTTTGGTGATCAATTATTGATTTTAAGTTGCATGTTCTTCCTGTTGCAGCATGGAAGTGCATCATGTAATCTATGTCTGTAAACATTTTTAGGCGTGTAGATTGTTTTAAGTATGCTATTGATTGTGTCACAGTTGGCCTTTTGGCACAGTTTACAGCTGTAACCCTCATATCAACTTAAAATCTTTTGTTTCTCTCTACAGGCTTTGTGAAAATCATGGCGGATCAGGAAGCATTGAAGTACAGTCCAAAAAAGGGTGCTGCTAGTCTTCAGTCTCTTCCAGACTTCAACCCCAGCTTGGACCTTCGCCGTCCTCGGGTACAGCCGACAGAGGAAGTGTCCGCCTGTAGTGGTGCTACTGGACTGAGGTAATGAAACAATTGGCAGTGTTGTGGTTAGAGTAATACTAGATAAGGCAAGCTTTATTTATTGCACGTTGTAATTCAGCTTTTGTTTTGTTGTGGCTGCTTCTACTTACTACTGCTCAAACTGTTTAGCTAGCGTTGTGATATTTGGGGATGTGCAAATGTTCGTCTACAATCATAAAGACATTTTGAAGCATTAGCTGCTTAATTTAATGTTAAATCTTTTTCTCTTTTACGTTACCGTCTTAGGAAAGATCTCCCTGCTTCCGGAGACCACCAGCTCCTCCTCTCCGAAGGAGCAGACGGCCCCAGAATTGAGAGTGCTTTTATCCTAAAACTCAAAGATGAACTTGATTCTGGAGACATCCTGTTGGGAGATGAGGTAGAGGCAATGTCAGGGTTTTCCACATTTTTGGTGATGTTGTATGACAAAGACCACATGTGAAATGTGTTGGGTTCTTGTCCAGGCTTTCTTCTAGTTCTTAGATCATCAGCTGTCACACTCAGCCTCCAGGAGTGTTTTTTTACCAGAATGATTTTGGTTTTTTTTCAGGATGAAGACTCTGATGATGACCTTGATGCCCTGTCTCTCTACGGTATGTCGCCACCTCCAAGCATACTCTTGGATAAAGAGCTGACCCTGGACCTCTTCAACGACCTGAAGCATCCAGACAAGAGCACGCAGACTGAAGGTTCAGTAGCAGCAGTCCCGCTGTGTGATGTCAGCATTCATTATCTAATCATAACCCGGCTCCCTGTTGCCACATTGTCTCTGGTGCTAGTGTAGCCTACAGGGCAGTGAAGAAGAAGAAGAAGAAGCATCCTCTTCCTCTTTACTATTGGCTTTCCGGTCCCTCCGAGGACCCAGTGGTGGCTTGTTTTGATCAAGGCTCTTCTCTGGACAGGACAGCAGAGTCATTACACATCTTGAAAATCATCTTTTCAGACCTCATGCCTCCCACTACTCATTTCTAAAAATAATTTAAAAAAGCTTTTGTGGTCCAGTGGAGTTAAAGAGAAAGCACTTATTGTAAGATGCTTCAACAAGATTTACAATTACACTTACAGACCCACTGCTAAATTTACAGGAAAAACAGTTGTTGCATCAGGCAGAAAAACAAATACAATTCTGTTATTGCATTTATGGCAGTATATCTTTTTGTACTTAAGTATACAATATATTGTAGCACTGCAAAGCAACAGTCTGTACTGCATCACATTCTTATCTGTACCACTTAACTGTCATTTTACAGAGTGAAGCCGTAGAGATAGAAGTAATGAAATGTGGAAAAAACCTCTTTGAGACCTTTTTTTTGAAATCACAATCAATCAACTAGTCGGTACACTGAGTGCAGTAGTCTCTCATAAACATGTTCAAGGCGAGCAGTACTTCTTATCACTCGCATCTGAAAGCGTTTTCAGAACAGCACTAACGTGGTGTTGTCCAAAATCCACTCTATCCCTCATACGTAGCTGTCTTTTGGTTTTCATTTTTGTCTTCTAGTTTGGAGATCTGACTGGCACCAGAGTTACATGGCAGTAATAAGTAGTGAGAAGTTCGACAGCCTGCTGAAGATGTGTCCGGATCTCTACGGCTGCAAGAGCCACATGGCAGCATTTGTCCTGATGAGAGGTGAGCACCGTAGGTGTGTCAGTGGAATACATGTCTGGATTGGTATTCTATGCATATCTGCTCTGCGTATGGTGGAGCAGACAGACATTACTGCTTCATGTAAGATTTGATTGGCTGTATAAAAACAAAGTCTCCATCTACATAGAAGAATATTAAATGGTATTTTGTATAACTGATGCAAAACTGGACGTTTAAATCGGTTTCAGATTTATATTTTTTTATATATATATAAAAATAAAGAGAAAGACTTTGACTTTAGGACTTAGACGAGACACTTCTGTTGCTTCATGCTCAGAATAGTAACATTGCTGCGTTTATCGCCATGCTTGCCAGTGCCAATCACGATTTTGACATTTGTAATGCCGGAGAGCTGTGATTTCTTTCCTTTCTTTATTCAGTGTCTGATCGACGATGACCGAGTCCTTCAGGAGGCATTTCACTCCTGCTTGCTTCTTTTTATATTCAATCAACGCTTTTAAAATTGAGTGTTGAACATGTGCCCCTTCACGCACCATTTTCCTACAGAAGTGCTGGACACAGCAGGGGGTCCATGCGAGCATTACATGGTGGTGGCTTTGGGAGCTGGCCGCTCATGCTGCAGCAAGTGGCTTTGCTACACTGGAACAATGGTCCATGACTGCCATGCCATCATCATCGCCAGACGGGCTCTCAAAAGGTACAAAACTGCTCGTATGACTTTCAACAAAGGGCCCTAATTTACAAAGAAATTATATTTAATACTAATATAATGTATAGAATATTTTCTGCTCTTGCAGGAGCAGGCAGCCTGGATCAGCACGCTGTCTGTCTTGTGCCATTGATGGTGCTTCTGGTGAAAGTGCCGGTGTAAAAGAAAATGTTATTTTCTGTCTTTTGTTCAGGTTCCTGTACAAACAGCTTCTGCTGTTCTTTGATGCCGATCCAGAGGCCAAGCAGAACTGTGTATTTGAGAGTAGTGCAGACAGCAACCAGCTCCAGCTCAAACCCAAGACCAGTCTGCATCTCTACACCAATCGGTGTCCTGAAGGAGCGCCTAAGAACTTCTACTTCAAGTACTGTTATTCCCCTCTTTGTGCTTTGCTGATAGCGGTATTGTGTAGTGTGTTTCTGAGATGCCATGGGACGATAGAAATTCCAAAACAGTGGATTTGACTTCTGAGAATAGTAGCATCCTACAAATGTTGTGAAACACGTTATTATTAGCCTGCTAATCATGTTCCGTTCTGTCCTCTTTAGGGGCCCTGTGAATGATATCTGGAGCGCTGTGAAGCTGCAGTATCATGCCAAGGGCCTGCTGTTCCCTGTAGCAGACCTTGACCCAAGTGTGTGGGGTGCCAAGGTCTGCTGCATGTCTGGTAGTGACAAATTGTGCCGCTGGACTGTCACTGGGGTGCAGGGCGCATTGCTGAGCCACTACATCCAGCCACTCTACATCAGCAGCATGGTGCAAGGTAAAGTTCAGAGCATATCTAGTGTGTCCACACAGCTCTCAATTTGGCGTTTACCTGAGGGGGAACCGGAGGAACGGGTGCTCATGTTCCGCGATGAGGGGCGCTCTCACATGCAGTAACATAAAACTAAAAAACATGCAACGCCGGCGTGGCTTTGTCAACAAAGCACAGAGAAGCTCGAATCACAACACACACAGAGGGAGAGTGAATTCATTTTACTCCACTATATCTTTACACTTAAGATAGTCCTTTGATGCTCTGAATATGATATAGAGAGCCTTCAAAGCAATTATTAGAGATTTTAGGTAATGCGCTCATTTTATTATTTCGGCGAGAGTTCTATAAGAAGAAGAAGAAGTTACAGACAGCAGCTTTCTGCTCTCAGCTCAGGAATCGTTCAGAAAGTAACTAATGAAACACGAGTTATGTGATATAACGGAGGTGTTGGTGAGCTTTGGAGGTGCTGGTAGACAGATTTTTATTACCTTTGGTCTTCATGCTAAGTGAAATTGGCTGCTGGCTGTAGCTTCATCTTTAGCATGCAGACATGAGAGTAGAATTCCTCTGACTCTCGAATATGCTTAAAGGAAATAAGCATATTTTCCAAAATGTCATTTTAAACTTTAATTTAGTAACTTTAATTCCAGGTAAACAGTAAAGCCTGCTATTTAACATCCAGGTGTTATATTTCCAATGCTGTCCTACAGTAAGTGAGATGTTTTTGAAGCTGTACTAGCTGATAGTCGTCTTAAAGGATTTATTTTCATTATGTTATTTGACATGGATTCATTATTTTCACCTGTTTGTAAATGACTGTGCTAATGCTGAGATTTAATTGTTGTTTATTTAGGAGGCCAGCAGCTCTTAAGCGAGGAAGTGTCCGATATCACCAACATGCGACTAGGGGACGGATGGGAAGACATCCTGCCGCCGTCCTACCAAAAACACAACATCTTCTTTCTCTGTGGCGACTGCGTGGGGCCTGTTGTGACGTCCCCGCGGTGGCACGACGAGCTCAGCGTCAACTGGTGCCTCGGAGACAAGGGCGTTGAAGTTCTGGACTGTGGCAAGGGCTTCGTCATTAATGGGTGAGATACCAAACGCATGTACAATAAATCAAAGAAACCACTAACTTGTCCCTGCCTCAGAAATGTGGGACCTGTACGACGTCCCGTACTGGTCTTGCAGAGAGTCTAGAGCTGACTCAGTCTTGCCTCATTCACACTCCTGCAGCCAGTTCCAGGGATGGAGTAGAGAACTGCTGGCAGTGCCGGATGCAGTGTGCTTGTTTGACAGTTTCGGTGACGCCTGGGGCTCCTGCCATCTCTTCGTTTTTGAAGCTGCAGACAACTGCTGATGTCCAGAAGCTGGAGTGTGACACAGACGTGGCTCTCACCGGAGGCTGTGTTGTCCTTGAGCAGAGATTACAGCCCAAAAATAGATTTGAGATCCTGCTTGGCGCTCGCAAGTGTTGCTCCATATTTCAGCTCCTGTCCTGCAGCCCGAACTATTAGCTTTATGGGCGACACCGTGTCAGGACGAGCTCTGCGGGACGTTTCACACAATAACTTATAAATGGGCAAGGAAAAAAGAGGCTCCCTGGAAAAGAAGAGAATAAATTTAAGGGCAAGAATACAGGACATGAAACGTGTAGGGGGGAGGTGAAGAGAAGTTGAAAGGATGGTAAGAACACCTACAAATTATAGTGAGAAAACCAAAAGAGAAGCTGCTTCTGTCGTTGAGACTTCTTTCATTTAGTGATGTAAAAGTAGCATGCCCAATCTCTTGAATTCTGCGGAGAAGAATACATTATACAGTTGTGTGAAAAAGTGTTTGCCCCCTTCCTGATTTCTTATTTGTTTGCATGTTTGTCACACTTAAATGTTTCAGATCATCAAACAAATTTAAATATTAGACAAAGATAACACAAGCAAACACAAAATGCAGTTTTTAAATGAAGGTTTTTATTATTAAGGGGGAAAAAAATCCAAACCTACATGGCCCTGTGTGAAAAAGTGATTGCCCGCCCTGTTAAAACATAAATTAACTGTGGTTTATCACATCTTTGGAAAGCTGAGTTCAATTTCTCTAGCCACACCCAGGCCTGATTACTGCCACACCTGTTCTCAATCAAGAAATCACTTAAATAGGACCTGCCTGACAAAGTGAGGTAGACCAAAAGATCCTCAAAAGCTAGACATCATGCTGCGATCCAAAGAAATTCAGGAACAAATGAGAAACAAAGTAATTGAGATCTATCAGTCTGGAAAAGGTTACAAAGCCATTTCTAAAGCTTTGGGACTCCAGCGAACCACAGTGAGAGCCATTATCCACAAATGGCGAAAACATGGAACAGTGGTGAACCTTCCCAGGAGTGGCCGGCCGACCAAAATTACCCCAAGAGCGCAGCGACGACTCATCCAAGAGGTCACAAAAGACCCCAGAACAACATCCAAAGAACTGCAGGCTTCACTTGCCTCAATTAAGGTCAGTGTTCATGACTCCACCATAAGAAAGAGACTGGGCAAAAATGGCCTGCATGGCAGAGTTCCAAGACGAAAACCACTGCTGAGCAAAAAGAACATAAAAGCTCGTCTCAGTTTTGCCAGAAAACATCTTGATGATCCCCAAGACTTTTGGGAAAAGACTCTGTGGACTGACGAGACAAAAGTTGAACTTTTTGGAAGGTGTATGTCCCATTACATCTGGCGTAAAAGTAACACGGCATTTCAGAAAAGGAACATCATACCAACAGTAAAATATGGTGGTGGTAGTGTGATGGTCTGGGGCTGTTTTGCTGCTTCAGGACCTGGAAGACTTGCTGTGGTAAATGGAACCATGAATTCTGCTGTCTACCAAAAAATCCTGAAGGACAATGTCCGGCCATCTGTTCGTGACCTCAAGCTGAAGCGCACTTGGGTTCTGCAGCAGGACAATGATCCAAAACACACCAGCAAGTCCACCTCTGAATGGCTTAAGAAAAACAAAATGAAGACTTTGGAGTGGCCTTGTCAAAGTCCCGACCTGAATCCGATTGAGATGCTGTGGCATGACCTTAAAAAGGTGGTTCATGCTTGAAAACCCTCCAATGTGGCTGAATTACAACAATTCTGTAAAGATGAGTGGGCCAAAATTCCTCTACAGCGCTGTAAAAGACTCATTGCCAGTTATCGCAAACGCTTGATTGCAGTTGTTGCTGCTAAGGGTGGCCCAACCAGTTATTAGGTTTAGGGGGCAATCACTTTTTCACACAGGGCCATGTAGGTTTGGATTTTTTTCCCCCTTAATAAAAAAAACCTTCATTTAAAAACTGCATTTTGTGTTTACTTGTGTTATCTTTGTCTAATATTTAAATTTGTTTGATGATCTGAAACATTTAAGTGTGACAAACATGCAAAGAAATCAGGAAGGGGGCAAACACTTTTTCACACAACTGTATGTGGAATGTGTGGTTTAGGAATGAGGAATATAATGGGCTGCAGACATTGTAGTGGTCATGGAGCACTAGTGATGTGACATCAGTCACCCAGCAATCTGCTAATCATCTGCTATCAATGCTGTCGTACTAAATACCACCTCAAAACAGTGTGATCTCACTACTGCTCTGCTCTTCAGGGATCCACTCCAGGGTTTCCCTCAGGACGTTGCTCAGCAGCAGTGGTAGTAAGTGCTGCCTGTGGGAAACGCTGACGTCTCTCAGCCAGGCCACACTTTACACGTTTCCTGTAACAGCACAGAAGAATTGTCTTGCCAAACACTTGTTGTTGTTTTTTAAAAATATTTAGCCCAGCTGAAGCCCTGAAGCAGGGACTGCATCCTCCAAACTAGTGTTGGAGGTGGACAGTGTTAAGAGCAAGGCACTAACTGCAGTGCATGAACCCACATTGTACATTTTACAGTTTTTAGTCTTACGAGTGGATACTTGGAAGGGGAACCAGCCTCAGTGCTTGCTTCTTTATGAATCCTTGGTGAGGGAGTATGTGTTACACTTACTACAAAGCACGGAGGCTGGACTTGCTTGTAGCACAGATTAAAAACCACAACAGGATGTATTTGTATCAAATATTGCAACTGGATCCAATATGCCGTCAAATCATGTCTGTATCTCAAGTAAGATGGATGTAAATTCAACAACATGTGATGTAAATAGTGCAGGATTGAAGAATCTCTAACAGGCTTTGTTGTGAGGTTGGATCATATATAATACGGTGTATGAAAGGCAATGGAAGTATAGGGAAGCATTCACTGGACTTTCTTTGTTTCCCAGCTCTCCGACTGTGAGTGGGCCGGGCTTCTCCAGCAGACTTTGCAAGAGAGCCCTCTACAGTTATTTCCTCAAAGTCGCACGGCTGGGTGGGCCGAGCTATCTGAGTGATCTCCCCACCTACCACAGCGTCAAGGTGCGTGTCCGCTATAGATGATTACATGAATGCTCAGTGCTCCATGAGAGAACTGTGAAGCTATACATGTGGTTATGGTTTTTTTAAATTCTTTTATAACGTTGCATCTTTGCAGTTCTTAAACGCATGTGATGCATGAGGTTGTCGTTTGCTTTATAGGTGGAAGCCACCGTCTACCAGACGGTCAAGGATCTGGTCAAGCAGCGGTTTCTGAGCAACCACGCAGGTCCCTGGAATTCCAAAAAGCTGGTGGACTGCTTTAGCTCTTGAATGTGCTCTTCGGTAACATTGCATGAAGAAGTTTAAGTTCCTCTCGAGAGATTGTTTCCTGCTGTTTACTGTTTACTTCATTTATAACCTTTTAACAGTAAGTTTAGTTTTGTTCATGTATAATGTTTCTCCTTTCGGATTGTGTATAGGTGTGAGAGAAAAATAAAGGAGAATCCTGCTGTTGTGCGCCACAGTGAAGTAGTCCGTTTGAATGGGTTGTGGGTGGAAAAACGTGGTTTATAGGCAAACCCTTTATTTCTCTTTTCGTCAAGTAGAATTGAGCTGCATTATCACCCATTTGTGTCAATGTGCCAACCAATTAATCAACCAGTCAGGAGCTGAATAACCACAGATGACAGAATGTCCTCTCTAGTCTTTATTGCACTTTGAGATTTTTTTTAAAAAGGTAATGAATCCTGTTCCTAAATAAGTAAAATGCAATGTTTTCTTTCTTTAGTCTCAAATTTCGTACCTTTTCCCTTTATTCACAGACTATCTGATCATTGGCAGTACACAGTATTTTGTATCAATATTATAAGCAGGGTTTTACACATTTTGCCTAAAGTAGTAGTTATTTTGTTTTAACTTATTGTGAAGTAAATGTTGATTGCAGTGTAATAGCTATAGAAAAATGACACCATCAGTACTTTGCACTTCTCTCTGCCACCCGGTAAGATCAGCTGTTGCCAGCCTCCTGGTTAGCATTACATTGAGCAGGTGTTCAGGTCATACAGTCGATATAGAAACACTAGCAAAGGACATCCAAATAAATAACTGTCAAACTTTATGGAGAAATTCATGCAGTATGGAGTTATGTCTCTACGATGCTACCGATCGACTCCAACCAATGCCAGTGGCTTATTTAAAACATATTTCGGACCATCACATGTTTATGTGTCAGAATTGACATGAACACTTCAGCCGTCACATGCAGCGATGGATAGATGTGTAATCATCTCACTGAAGTGAGTAAAGAATGACTGCATCGTAGTTTCTTGGTTTACACATTTACGGTCACAAATCGAGGTGAAAAGGGAACACAGTGAGCCTTGCGTCATCTTAAATTCAAATTTGTATTATTCCCTCAGACAAACTGATACCGCCGTCCATTGTCACCATGGCTCCACTCACCAGTTGCTTGGCAACCAACTCCTCCTTGGAACGGATGCAACTACTCATGTCTAAATAATTACAGGCTCTTTTACAATATTTAGCAAAAAATGAAAAAAAACAATAGAATTTGCATGGTAACACTTTCTAATGAAGCTGCAACACAAAAGGATTAATGTCACATCTCTGGTCTTTATTGAAGCACAATATACGTTCATGCCGCCGTCTCAGTTTAACATTTCATGATAGTTTCTGGGATCTGCATGTCTGCGTGTGTCTGTATGCAAATGCTCGTGTCTGCTCCTGTGAGTTTTATCTTTGTTATTGGTTCTTCCAGCCAGGCGTCGGGTTCACCCCCCTCTGGGAAGGCAGCGCTTCTGGACCGGAGGTGCTTCTCCGGGCCCGAGGGAGAGCCAGGGAATTCACAAAAAGGCCTAAAAGATAATTAAACATCCGCAAACAACTTAGATGTGGAAAAACAAGACGTGTGGTTTGAGAATACACGCCTGGGAGTTCGGGCGTTAAAACTTAAATCGAGCTGTCGGATGGTGAAGGAAACCTTTAAGAGATAACAATGATGTCCTTTTAGGCTCGATCAGCAGGGCGTTCATGTAATTATTTAACGTCAGCGCAGTCTCATTAATGAATGCAGTGACCTTCACACTGATTCTGGCAGCCGAGGGACTGTGATGTCAGACTAAATCTGTGATCATCATTATTTCATATGAATCTTAAGATGAATTATAACATTTGATTGAAACCTTAAATGTCTTATAATAGAGTATAATTAAGTTTAGTCTTAAAATAAACAAAAAAACCAACCTGTGGCTGTTTTTCTCTCAAAAACACATTTTTACGAATTAGCTTTTATCTATGTATTCAATGTTGTGTCACTGTGGAACTTAGCGTCTATTTAGCTTGTAAGTGTGCTAAAAATGACGTCAGTGTTGATAGACTGATGGTTATGAATGAAGTGAGGATGTGTGTTGCTTTGGAGTGAGGCGTTGCTTCCTTACCCAGGTCTGGTCTCTTGCAGGACGAGTTTCTCTGACTGGAGTCGGAGGAAGCCGATGTGCTCTCTGTGGAGCTGGACTTGACTGAGCAGGCCGAGGGTACTGGTGCTCTTGGAGGATTTGATTTGGGTTTGGCTGCGACTCCAACTGATGCAGAGTTGCTCCACTCTGGACGACAACAACACCAAACACAGATAACAGAAATCAAGCCCATGAGTTGCCTGTATTGCAATTGATTAACCTCTTGAGGGTTAATTCTGCTTTTCAGTGATTATGTAATATATCTTCAAGTGACCATCAAAGTGACTTGAGTGATCAAATGCCATCACACCGCGTGTGGCTGCCATACCAGAATACTCTTCGAGTCGGAAACGTCCAAAGCAGAGGTGAATCCTCCACTGTTTCCGGACATTTTCCTTCATCAGACAGTGGAAGAGGAAGATGAAAAGTCCTGGAATACAGAACAGAAGAGGCATACGCTGATGAGCTTTGAAGAACAAGATTGGAACCTTGATTTGTTTAGTTTTTTTGTCCCTCAGCAGTTATGTCTAAAGTCCACTTGAGCAAGGCATTTCCGTCCCAGAAGTAAAAACTGGCGGGCTTTTGTTGCGTCATTCTCGGATGAAAAAGAAAGCAATATAACAAAGACCAGTCGAGGTAAAGGCTGTTGAGAAATAGTTGCATCATTCAGCCTGATTCCCTTCTTTTTTTTTTAAAAAATCTGATTTTTTTTGAACTGTGAACATGAAGTGGAATGTTGAGGAAAACTGCATTTGTGGATAGCAAACACTTCACTCAATTTATCTACCGGTATATCACTCATACATGCCACTTAAGAACAAATGTGTTTGTACGAATGGTCCTTACATGAAGCACATTCGCTCTGCTGACATATTTAGATACATATATTATCCAGCATGGCTTTCGGGGAGTGTATCTGAGCAAGAAAAGAAACTACAACCTTGGAGGGTGTTGAGTCCAGCGAAAAGGTACAGCATAACTACTCTGGCTGGTCCCCAGGTACTGAAGCCAACAGTCCATGTTAGTCCTAGTAACAAGGTGAGACTGGCAACTCCCTTCAGGTCATGCATGAGTCCGCTGCGGGTCCCAGCCGGGCTATTGACTTGCATGTGGCGAATCTGGATCAGCACCACCGCAAAAACCTGAAAGAAGCAGTTCAATTACATGGAAACAATAATGTAATAAGAGATAAGTATGCAAGTGCCCTTGGATGAGAGATTTGACGGAGGATTGTTGAGTATTGTTAATAGTGAGTCATGCCAGGCTGCAAGGCGTGATCTGTTTATTTTGAGATTATTAAATGTTAATTATATGCTGTTGTGGCTGTCTAATTGTAGATATTCTTAAAAGGAAGGTAATTAGGAGAATATATATATTTACCACTAAAATGTGAACATAGCCCAGTGTTTAACTGTATGAAATTGAATTAAAATGTTAAAATGATTTACCGCAGTGTTGAAGAGAAAGACCAGCACAGCATAGGCAACGACAGACACGTAAAACGTCACATCGTCCTGAAGCCAACAGCTGAGGGAACAATGGTCTGAATGGTTAAAGGGAAAGTAACCAGCAGGAAGGACTGCAAACTTTTTCTCAACCACAAAAAAAGCAATTGAATCAAAATGTTGATTTCACGTCACATGACTTTCAGTGTGGCACTTCTAGATGTAAGACCGGCTCGATCTGTTCGCTGAAAACATTAACAACACTGTGAAGCAAAATGTGACTTACTGTATATCTAAGGGGGAAAAGTATGCTTAAAATGTGTGGGTTGACACCATATAGAAAGTAAATCTAATCAAATAAGAAGACAAATGATAAAAAAACATGCAGTATTTCTGGCAGTTTGAATAATTCCTGTTTATTACGTTAGTTGCTTTTGGATGTTAGTTGGTATTTGCTTTAACAGTTAGTGACAATATAATATTATACATGTAAATATAATATATACTCCATTTTACAAGTTTGCTGGAGACACGATATTTGTACTGCCGATTGAAACCTGTGTTTTCAATTAAGCCTGAAGACAAAATGTCAAATGAATATAAGATGAAGCAAATCTCACAAGTTGTCAGAGTTGTCTAAAGGCGCCAAGCTCTGCTGACCGCCGTAGGCCTCTCTGTCCACGAGGAGCACTATGGTGCAGATCACCAGAGGAATCCCTGGAGGAACAGTTCAAACACGTTCATAGCACATTGTTATCATGACAGGGTTACAATTATTGACCAATAATGAGTGTGACAGCACAGAGTTTTGGCCGGCAGCGAACTTAAAAGTGTCCGTTGAACACGTGACTAACCCCATCCCAGAGCACAGAACTTGAGGATGTAAGAGGGCACGTAGACATTGAAGACTTTGACGAGTGCAAAGTACATGTTAACGGCCTCTAATCCCATCCAGGTGAACGACGCCAGGAGGAAGTAGTGCAGCATGGAAGCGACAGCCACACAGAGGCCATATACACCCCAGGAGGACAGCCAGGAGTTGACCAGAAACACGAAGTTCAAGCCCAGCAGTGCCAGGGAGAGGTTGATGAGGATCTGTGAGGGGTAGTCCCGACGAAGCTTTCTGAGAAGGAGACGGAGATAAAGCACAGGGGAGGAAAATGCAAGTGTTCATGTGGTTATACTTCAATTGTTGCTGTTATCCAATTAAGGACAGAGTGTTGGGTATTTCAGTATGGCCCAAATGTATCTGCATTAGTGTCGACATGACCTTTAAGACCTATCAACGGGTTAACAGTCTGCATGTAAACACAGTCGGTGTACAACAAGGAGGAAACATTTGTGAAATAACGACTCAGCGGTTGGAGTCTCACTCGAAGGCTGTGTAAGTGAGAACAGTGATTCCCAAGAACACCGATGAGACTCCGCAACCAGCGTAGGTGATAATGGTCAGGATCTGCTCATTAGCCGCGTCCACCGGAGTCCTGGAGACATCCTAGACACAAACAACACACGACACAGATTTGTAAGAATGGCTGTATTTATTTCCCCAATGTGCCACAAATAACTCTCACAGACACAGTAACTGCTCCTG